CTGGTATTCAATAGGGTTGATGGGTTCAATTCTTAGAACATCCTGATTCTCGAGTATTTGCAAATGTATGATACTAAGTGGAAATTCAATCGTTTCGATATTTTCATTATGTACTAGTTTGGTTTGTTTGATAATGTTATGTTTGTTCAAGGGTTACACTAAAAGGGGGAGGATTGTTGGTGATTTTAGTGTCACCATGTCATTTTAAGTAACTGAAACTAACATGTGAGCTAAGGGGCTTCATAATTTGTACTCTAATATATGTACGGGGTTGTGTAGAGTGCACGCATGTATAAGATCGAAGTAGAAGCCGGTTTGATGACTAGTCGGGGGTCCGGGGGCAGCGCCCCCGGGTCCGGGGTTTCCAAAGGGGCAGCGCCCCTTTGGCGGGGTCTAGGGGCAGCGCCCCTAGCGGGGTCCAAGGGGCAGAGCCCCTGGCTGGGGTCCCACAACTAATGGGAACATAGTGGAAAATTCAATTTCTTGAGGTGTGATTATGGTAAAACTAACGAAACTCGTTAGTTTTGGTAACCCTAAATCCTCATTAAATCTTGATTAACATTACTTGCTTCCAAAGCAACTAATGACGGCCCAACCCTAATGAAACCCTAATCTCGTTTAATATATAAACAGTTCTTCCTCTTCAGAGGAGGGGGCGATCTTAAGCTCTCGTTTCATCACATTTTCACAGAATCCTCGAGCATATTGGCTTACGATTTATGTGCCTAGAATCGTAAGTGTCCACTTGATTATCCTAGGCTGAATTTCTTGTAACTCAGGCATAGGGTAGAAATATCAGTTCGGAAAGTGATATCACAATCCAAGTCGGTATCCAGATCTCCACTACAAACCCTAATATTCCCAACAGGCCTGATGGGTAATGTATTGTTACTTGCAAATGCATGACATCTTTACCAAAATGATGAACCACTTTTGTGCATGCATGGAAACCCGCTCTAAAAAGGAATATATATATATATATATATATATATATATATATATATATATATATATATATATATATAATATATATATATAAAAGACGATTAATTTTTGTGAGACCGTGAAAATATTTTTTTGTAGTGAAAATTTCTACTATTATTATAGAGTTCCTAAAAATTTAATGTGTAATATTCTTGTATTCTAAAACAATATTTTTAACACATTTTATATTTTGAATGATTCTAAAACATATAATGTTAGAATATTCTACATATTATATTTTTACGAACACTAAAAAATTAAAATATTTCACTAAAAAAAATTGGTCTCACGGTCTCATAAAATTAAGTTCGTCTCAAATGAACTTTTACTTTATTAATAATAATAATAATAATAATAATAATAATAAGTACCTCATTATAGTTTTGTGGTTAATAAAATTGGACATCCCATGAGCGCTGCAAATGATTGAATCATGTGAAATCATTTTGTAAAACAAATCAAGTACAAGTTATATCACTGTCACATTAAATTTATAGAAAAATATATTATTAAGATATTGAGCACAAGATCTACGAAAAAGGATCTGAAAATCATCATATAAACAAATTGTCTAGTTTAATCAACGTTAATGTAAACAACGATGTTACGATGATTGACTTTCAATCAATTTGACCTAAAAATATGTAAGTATAAATTTAATATTTAAATATTTATTGTATAGATTTATAATTTTATAAAAGGCTTACCAGACAAATAAAATAATAAGAGCAGGTCAAAAACCATTTAATCCTATCCCTATGACGATCTCTTTCTATCATCATCAAAGAACTCCCTTGATACAATTTCCCTTTTCATCAAAACCCCACTTACGGATCCGATGTTCTTCAGCGGTGCTATTTGGGTTGTTATTCCTGTTTTTGTAATGAATTTTCATGTCTTAAATTCTAACTAGGTATCACAATGGTTTTTGAAAAAGATAACCAGAGAATATTGATGACGAGTAAGTGTAATGGTGGGCTTTTTCATTTAATAATAATAAAACAGGAAAATAAGAAAAAAAACAAAATAAAGATAAAATAGTCATTTTATAAAAACTTTACACCTAATTTGTAATAGTGCTAGAAAGAGGGACTAAAATTGTGAAAATTGCAACCAAAGACCGTCTATGTAAGAAAATTGAAAGTTGAACTGAAACCTCAATTTATCAAACTACAGGGACCATTTCTTTAACTTACTCTATATTTTATACGTGGTCACGTGGATCAATTAAATCGTTTCATGATTTATTTAATACGTGAACTTTATTATTATCCGTTTGAATGATAAATTAAAGATGTGATAGTGACTTTTCAACTTCTTTCAAGTTTTAATGGGCGGTTTCCAACTAATCTGGCCTAATTATGTTGAACGCGTATTACGGTATTAGTCACGTATTTTCAGCTAATTTTAATCTAGAAAACAAAATCCTAATTAGAAATTAAATTTTCTTCTATTTGTTGTTCGTATAAATTCTCCTACTCAATTAAATGACATGTGTAACATTTAATGTTCACTTAATAAAATTTTAATATACTAAGATGATACATATCATCATTTAAATGGGTATCATGATTGCTAAGAACAAAAAATAGGAGAAAATTTAATTTCGAATAAGGATATATGCTATAATGATAATTAAATAAAAAAATTCAATTATCTAAAACATATAAATGGACGTAATGACGTGTACTAGATTACAAAACTTTTAAGTTTTAACATAGACTGTTCAATTTGTTTTTGAAAGTATGTTTACCAAAATGAAATTTAACTAAAATATATTTTTTATTTTTATGTGCACATTATCATGTTGTAATTCAAATAATTGCTCTTAAGTTGTAAAGATTTGGGTATTTGACAGGCTGTTAGTTGTAATTTGTAATGTAATTTAATTAATCTTCAACACGCCGTTATGTTTTTTTAGTACCCATTTTGACAAAAAAACGAATATAATGAGAGAAGAAAAAGATCATACAAGTTACGAAGCAACAGTTTGTAAATGACAAATATTAAAAGAATATGCCCGATTGACGACTAATGTAAAGTTTGCAACATGATGCCAAAGCTTAAGACAAAAATATATACCAGACTCCCGTAGAAAGCTAAGTAAACATCATCTTCTAGCCCAACTACATTAGACGATGTTCTACCTCATTGAGATTGAAGGTTCAAGTCTCATCTGAGACATAGGTGGATTTAAAAGTTAGTTTAGGAGTAAATTAGATTTGTCGTTTCAAAAACATAATTGAATCTAAAACGACCAATGATATTTAACAAATGTAGTGCTTCAATAATTAAAAGCAAAATACAAATGTTTTTGGTATTCTAGTGGAGCTTTAAGACCATCGAATGTTAAATTATTCTTTTTTATGATTATAAAGGTTTTTAATTACTTTCTATCGAGAAAATGAGAACCGGTACTAAAGTTTTGTCTACCGCTTATACATTATGAATGTACATAGATCGTACTCATTAATGAAAAAAAAAAAAACTTTTGCTAAGGGTTCGTGAAGTGGGATCTATTTGGTAGACCGTTTGGTTCGTATAATGTTTTTGAATGCATGGAAACTGTCAAAAGAATTGAAATCTAAAAGAATTGAAATTTGAAAGAATTAGAATATGTTATATGTTTGGTTGACATGAAATGTAATCTATTTTATATATGTTTGCAAATTTATCAGACATATGTGGATTTAAAAGTTAGTTTAGAAATAAATTAGATTTGTCGTTTCAAAAACATAATTGAATCTAAAACGACCAGTGATATTTAACAAATGTAGTACTTCAACAATTAAAAGAAAAATACAAATGTTTTTGGTATTCTTGTGGATCTTTAAGACCATCGAATATTGAATTATTCTTATTTATGATTATAAAGGTTTTAATTACTTTCTATCGAGAAAATGAGAAGCGATACTAAAGTTTTGTCTACCGCTTATACATTATGAATGCACATAGATCGTATTGACTAATGAAAAAAAAAATCTTTTGCTAAGGGGTCGTGAATGGAATCTATTTCATAGACCGTTTGGTTCGTATAATGTTTTTGAATGAATGGAAACTGTCAAAAGAATTGAAATCTAAAAGAATTGAAATTTGAAAGAATTAAAATATGTTATATGTTTGGTTGACATGAAATGTAATCTATTTTATATATGTTTGCAAATTTATCAATTGAATTAGAAACTAACTTATGTAATATGATCAAAATATTCTTTTATTGATTTCATAACTTGTTATTATTTTATAAATGATAAAACTTCAATTTATTAAACTTTTATCCGTTCAAATCTATGTGGGCTTTGTATATGTGGCTATGTGCATGTGTGTATGAGTGTGGACGTATGCGTGGGGTGGGTATTATGGTGGTGTGGTGTGTGTGAGATTGGTTTGAGGTGATGTGGGTGGGATGTAGAAGATATGATGATGATATCTTTAAATTTGATAAATCATGACTAAAATAAAAAATATAAGATGTGATTTTTGTTTTTATAATAAAAAAATAAATATAAAATCTTTGGTTTTTAAATTTAATGGAATTTAAAGAATTTTAGATTCTTTGATTTTGTCGACCAAACATAATATCTAGTGAAATGTCTCAATTTCTTCAAACTCCTTTAAATCCATAAAACAAACATGCCCTATATGTCTATCAGTTTTCTTATTAAACATTATAGTTCTTCCAAAATATTTAATAATGAAAGTCAATAAAAAGATATACCCCTTACACATGGTTATGTATATTTCATAAATTTTACCATTAAGAAATCATTTCAATTCACTAAGATAATCATTTAAGCTATGCCTTTCTAATATCATATAACTTTTATGCAATATTAATATTAGCCCATGACTTCTGATCACCCACAGTGTTGTAGAACATAAGCCAAAAAACAAAGGGAAAATGACTTAAAAAGGTAACAATGTTCCAAAAACGTACAAAAAACACCATTTTTCTTTTTTTAGTGAAAAAAAATACAATTTTACCGGGCATTGTAGGTTAGCCGGTTAAAAGATTCATGGGAATATATGTGCCCTTACCCATTGTTATTTCCCCCAAAATCAAGGGTTCCTTTCCTTCTCCTTCGTTCGTTCATCCTTTCCACAAAATCACCACAATGGATTCCAACTTGACAATCGAAGTAAATCATACAGGTTCTTTTGTCCCCAAACCGATTGTGTATTTCAATCCAGTAAAAGTGGTTAGCAATGTCGATTTCAGAAGCATGAGTTTCATGGAGTTCATCTCGTATGTGAAGAAGTTGGTCAATGATGGAAGAATCAGTGTGTACTATTGTCTTCCACAACGTTAACTGAGAGATGGGTTGAGAGCCTTGGAATATGAAAATGATTATGTTCGTTTTATTGATGTTGGATATGAGAATGGGGGTATGATCAATTTGTACATTGATCACAGTCAGGAGACAGTTATGGAGTGGATTGAAGAAGAGATAGTTGAAGATGGATCGATAGATGGTAATACGGATGATGATGATGATGTAGACTCTGAGCTTTTAGATAATGAGCTTGTGGAGCATGGATCTGATGACAAAGTGATACAAATACAACCATTTGATGATCATTTCATTAGAAGAAAATTTTCCAGGCCTCTAAGAGTTGTAGATGATAAGAAAGATGTCAAGAAAGATCTTCATAAGTATCCAGTTCATGATCCTAACCGAAAATGGGATACAATGGTTCCAGTCTTAGGTATGAAATTATGTGATCGTTATGAACTTAAGCATTTGTTAAGCAATTATGTTGTTGCTAATGGAAAGAGTGCCAGAATGTGAGCATAGACAATGTGCTAGGTATGTCTATGCCAACTTCAAGAGAAAATTCTCAGGAGCTGAATACAAGAAACTTTTCTGGGGTGCTGCCAAGGCCACAACCACCACAAAATTTGAAGATATCATGAAGGAGATCAAATTAATTGACATAAATGCCTATGAACACCTGATGGAAAAAAAACCAAACACATGGTCTAGGGATTTTTTTTAGGGAAGATAGTGGTAGTGATGCCACTGAAAATGGTATATCAGAGTCATTTAATGCAGCCATTGTGGAAGCTAGAAAAAAACCAATAATAGCAATGTTAGAAGATATTAGAGTGTATGTCATGGAAAGGATGTTTACTCAGAAAAGGAAGGGCCTGAAGTGGAACTTGGAGATTTGTCCCTTAATTAGAAGGAAGATTGAGGACATGAAGAAAATACAGAGGTATATAACTATATTTATACATAATACACACACACACACACACACACATATATATATATATATATATATATATATATATATATATATATATATATATATATATATATATATATATATATATATATAAATACTAACTTATATGTTACATTTCATAACAGGTTTTTGGGGAGTAACTCCAAGTGGTTTTCATTAATATGAGAGTAGGTGGTTGAATGGGGTGTATGCAATTGACTTACATAAAAGAACCTGTGGATGCAGATCATGGCAGCTGACAGGTATACCATGTGTCCATGCTATTTGTGCAATCTTGTGCTTGAATGGAAATATAAAGGAGTATGTAGCAATTTTGTACACAACACAAATGTTTGGAAGCTGCTACAGGTATAATGTGAAGCCAATAAATGGATATGAAATGTGGCCAACAAATGATATGAATACCATCTTACCACCAAAGCGTAGAAGAATGCCTGGCAGACCAAAGATGAACAGGAAGAAATGCATTTCAGAAAGAAGTGACAGACACACAGTTAGCAAAGTTGGGACCACTTCTAAATGCAGTTTATGTTCCCAACCAGGTCATAACAAGAGGAAATGTCCTCTCAATCAGGTTAATGCAGTAGATGATTCAGATATATTTAATTACCATGAGCTATTTGAGGGTGAGGGACAGGGTCAAGGACATGGACATGGAAAAGTCAATGGGGTTGCTGAGGATGTTGGAGTTGATTTAGAGGAGGAGGTTGGAGGTGATTTAGAGGAAGAAGTTGGAGGTGATTCAGAGGAGGAGGTTGGAGGTGATGAACATATGGTTGATTTAGAGATGGATGATGAACAAGTGGTGAATCCTGTAAATCAGCATGTGGTTGCTCCTACTTTGAAAAGGAGAAAGTGTGGTCCTTCTCAGAGGAACACAAAACTTAGGTTGAGGAGGAAAGTGGTGACCAAGGATGATACAGGAGGAAGTCTTGAATATCCTCTCACAATCTAGTGAGTTACGACATACTCTGAACTTTCTACCTGGATTATCAGCCGTGGTTGAGGTCCAAACTTGGGAAGGCTTATCATAGTGACAAGGGTGAGCATAATCAATTGTACTCCTACTATTGGAAGTGTTCGAATTTGACTTACAATAATTTGATGAACTTGAAGATGTCATAGGAGCCGTATTAAATATGAAGGGCAGAAGGAGATGAAGAAGGGGGATGAAGATGGAGAGTGAACCCTAATTTGGTGGTTGAAGGTTATTAAATCACGTTTAATATTTGACCTGAGGTAACCGGTTACCTCAGGTCACTCTAAAGGGTTATTTGTATTTTGTTGGTGTTTTTTGTACAAAATTTTCATTTTAATGGTATTTTTTTCACTAAAAAAAGAATAATGGTGTTTTTTGTACGTTTTTGGAACATTAGTACCTTTTTAAGTTATTTTCCCAAAAACAAAAGATAAGTCGGCTGGAAAATAATAAAGCAGTGAAAATGAACGCCAAGTAAAAAAAGGCTTAGCCGATAAAAGGGTAAAGATGAAACCGATGAACAGTAATAGCCACATAAAAACTTTACCCAGCCAATTAAAGGCATGTTCATAAGACTTCTTGCATTTAATTGTATGATAAATCTAAATCATACAAATGGTTCTTCTTATTGGAACACTCTTAAATTTATTTTGAAGCAATTTTCATTTTTTAAACTTATGTTCATCATCCACATTCTTTTTTTTTTTGGAAACGGCCGAGATTTTTATAAAGAAGACCCCCGCTAGCAAGAAACTAAACGAGGGCCAAGGAGTTACAACAAATACATATCAATAAATAGAAAAGGGGGATACATTCCAATTCTCCCAACTACAAATTCCCCTTTTGCCCCTACATTTGATCCATAGATAAACTAACGACTTAATGTTCTCGACCGCTTGAGTAGGAAAACATACAGAATGCCTCGACCAAAATTTTCATCAACCACATTTATGATGTTATACCGACGACCTAATGCTTATTTATTTATATGAGTTTTTATTGTCTAAAATTCTCATTTATGCCTTATTCAACCACAAATTTCATCTTAGAAAATTCTATCATTATTTTCTTGCATACATATTTTCTTTAACATATGACAAATATATCTAACATATAATAATAATTATTATTTTTACTTTTATCATCTATAATATTTTTTTAGTTTGGACAATTACATCAAAAGTGTTTTTCATCTCAATGTCTCATTATTATTACCTTCCAACCATTTACCAAGGGGTACTCACCACTTCAGGGCCGACCTTACTTCATGTGAAACTAAGCAAGGGCTTAGGGTCTCCAATTTTAAGGGGCCCCACTTAACCCAAATGTCGATTAGTGATTCTCCAAATAGCGCACGATATAGATCGACAGAAATCATCAAAACCAAGGGAATGTTCTTCTTCCAATCTTCCTTCTCGACTTTTCATTCTCTGATTCTCCATTCTTGGCAGAAGCATGCAGTAACCGTCACCAATCTGTAATATCGATTGAATATTGATTCTCTAACTAGTTAATTCTCGATTCTTCTTCTTCCTCTAAAACAGTGAAACGGTATGTTAAGTTTGATATGCTCTTCTTCTTTTCTTCCTCTAATAATATGATAATCTGATTAGTTGATTCTTGATTCTTCTTATGTTTGATAATTGATATGTTCTTTTTCTTCCTCTGATAACCAAGCGATTGTTCTTCTTCTTCCTCTGATAATCTGTCTATGTGATTCTCCATTACTATATTAGGCATATGTTTGATATGTTATATGTATAATAGTTTTCAGACGTTACATTATCTGAATATTTGAATCTAATTTTAGATTATCTACTAGGGTTAATGTTTGATATTTTATATGTATAACAGTTTTCAGACCAAAACATTGAGCACAGACCGTAGTGGATCATTTGTTCACTGTTAAGTTTTTCTTCATTTATGAATTATGATGTGGCTATGATTTTTGTGGATGCTCTAGTAGTCTGGTTTGAACTATAAATGTGTAGTACATTACCATTGAACTAGGTTTTATATGGTTTTGGTTGGCCAAAGGGCCCCATATTTTTGGTTCGTTTAGAGCCCTCAAACTGGTTGAGCTACTCCTGCACATCATCATATCATAAGTTTTTTTGGTTGGGACTGGTTTTGTTTCGGGTACTGAATCTGATTGTGAGTTCAATACAGACTCAAGCTCAACTTAGGGTTGAGAAGGTTGAGATGGAATTTATTGTTGTTGGAATGCGTTTTGTTGAAATAAGAGTTATTTTGAGAATGAGATTGGTTGTTGGAAATGGTTTTGTTGAAAGGGTTGTTTGAAAAGTTTTGTTTAAAGAAGTGTTGGAAAATTGGTTTGATGTTGAATTGGTAAACCTCGAAGCTTACTCATGAAGCTAGCATTCGATGAAATATATTGTTGGAATTGTCGAAGTGTTGTATTGTCTCGTGGGTTTTAGTTAGGTCCTGCTTGAGTATTAAAAAAATACATAAGAAAAGAATTGTTTTATAGATTACAAATTGAAAGATTATAATATGGAAGTATTATCTTGATCTTAGTATGTTAATAAGTAACATGCAAATTAATTTTAAAATATTTTTTTTATAAAAATAAATCATATTGTTAAATGGTCCTTTTTTTACCAAAATTGAAATAAAACCATGGAGATGTTCCTCCATCATGTCAGTGAGAGTGTGCTCATGACGTGAAGAGGTGTCCACATCAGCACCAAGTATATGGCATGGTGTCTATACCTTATGGTATAATGATTATTTCAAATAAATTATTATGATATTTTGTTTGGGTTTTATGATGAATTGTTTTTTAATTAATACAAGATATGCATTTGTGATGCTAGATTTATTGTTAATCTTAATTTTTTTGTATTAGATTTAAACTTTTTATATGCCAATATTTTTATACAAAAGTGTTTATTTCTATATAAGGCACAATCATAAAACTATTTTTTTTGAAGAAAATAAATAGAACCGAAAGTGATAAAGGGAGCTGTAGGTAAAGGCAAATAAATTTTGAGAAATTAAATATCCTCTGACCATATTAAGGGCGTGTTTGTCAAAACTAGCTGTTAGCGGATAACGGGTAGCTGGTTGCGTTTTGTTAAACATTACATGATGTATTTTTTGATTTGAAACATTTTATTTAAACTAAACGTTAAAAGGTTGTAGTGTCAAATGATTTTTTTGTTCAAAACGGCGCGTTTTGTCAAACGATAGAAACTGAAAGCTAGAAACTCCAAAACACTCTGTGTTAAACACGTCATAAATGTTGATATATATCATATTAAATGAAATTAATAATATTTTAAGACATTTGTGATCATTATTTAACATGGATACGGAGATACACAGAAATAAAATGTAAGAAGATATTTAATTTTTACAAATTTAAGTTAATGTCTTAAATTTTGTCAAATGCTTATTAATAAATTTTCAAGAAAATATATATATATATATTTTGAACCGGCAAATACAAATATTATAATCTACTCTTAAACTAACACCTAATTCCACCTATGTCCATTCAAGAAAATAATTAACATCATTTAACGTTACCTGTAAAAATACAAAAACGTATTTTAAATTAAAAACTAATAAATATTGTGGGACACCAAAATCGAAAAAACGATAAAAGAGGGTTTAACATCCCGCCGGAGATGTCCCCAAATTCACGCGGCACGACCAATTTGACGTGTTTGGGTTAAAATTTACCAAAATAACCGGCTGCTTTTCCCTCTCCCCCCTCATATCCCTCTATAAACCAATTAACCTTGCTTTCCGATCATCTTCCTGTTTCACATTATCGACGCCGGTGCTTAAATAGACGTAGATTTTTATTTACCAATCGAGAATTCGAAGATTGCTAGTTTCCTTAGTTGAAATTCCAATAGATTGAGTGTGCAATTGGTTTTCCTTTTGATTTGTTGCTACTTGCATGCAGGTATTTATTACCTTATTATTCCTTTTGTTGATTCTTTACTTTTTGTGATATCCGATGATGCCTTTGTTTCGTGTTATATATGTAAAACTTGATACATTTTGTTGTTTGATGGGATATTTGCGTTTTCTTGGCGCAGGTTTGAGATTAATGGCGAAGGATTTGAAGGTTCGATCGAAAAGGTAATGTAACTTCTTAATCGAATTAAAGTTCTAGGGTTTCGTTTGCTGTTTATTATTTTTTCTCGTTTATGCTTTAAATGTTTGTTTGATTTTAAGATCTTCAAGTTCGATTTGGATGCAACATGAAGATCTGTGTATATTATACATATAATTGCTGTAGATTCTTCTTTTGGAATATTTTCTCCGTCGAACATATGTTGGTTTTTGAAATCATTAGCCATTGGTTTTTTCAAAATTGACTTTTTCTGCATACAAACAGTAATGTCTGAAAAGCATATATTCTTAGCATTTTTTAATTGTTCAGATACTTTTATTTACTTATGCTAAAGGATCACGGCATCTTCCTTCGTCATTTGATTGATGCTGTTCCTTATCGTTGAAATTACTTGGATCAGTTAGAATCTTCTATATTCATTCTTCGATCTCTCACAAGTGCTTTAAATAAACTTGAATCTAAATAGCATGTGAAAACCTAAGCCAGAGCCTTAGAAAAATGAAATATTTTTGCAGTGAAGGAACAGTAACCTGTGATTCTGAAGCTGAGAGCTTAAAGGACTACTGGATACCCGATTACATACTGTTACATGAATCAAAAGTTGAAAAACCATCATATGTTCCTGCTTCTCCCGTGATAGTATTTATCAATTCAAGAAGTGGTGGCCAGCTTGGTGGAGAGCTTCTACTCAGCTACCAAACACTTCTAAACAAAAACCAGGTATTTGATTTGAATAAAGAGGCTCCTGATAAGGTGCTACACCAACTATTCCTCAATCTAGAGAAGCATAAACACAATGAAGATTCATTCGCCTCTGAAATCCAGAAAAGATTGAGAGTTATCGTAAGCCTGTTAAAGTGTTAATGTTGTCTTTATATCATATATTCTTTTATTGTTTGTATCATTTATGGACGATGTTGTGTGTCTACTCTATCAGGTGGCAGGAGGGGATGGAACTGCTGGTTGGATCCTTGGAGTGATCTCTGATCTCCACTTATCACAGCCACCTCCAGTAGCCACAGTGCCTCTAGGAACCGGAAACAATCTCCCATTTGCATTTGGTTGGGTAAGATTTTTATTTTCTATTTTGTAAGAAATTATGGTGTACATGACATAACATTCTTTATGCTGATTTTTTAGGGGAAGAAAAACCCTGGAACTGATCTTGAATCTGTGAAGATGTTCCTGAATCTAGTAAAAGATGCAAAAGAGATGAAAGTAGATAGGTAAGGTAGTTGTTATATCCATTTTGTTACTTCATACTCCAAATTTTACAAGTAAATTAACATTTGTTGTGGTCCAGCTGGCATGTTCTGATGAAGATGAGAGTTCCAAGAAAAGATGGTTCTTGTGATCCAATTGCACCTTTGGAATTACCACACTCTCTGCATGCTGTCCATCGTGTCCCTCAATCAAATCCATTGGATGAGGTACCAACTACCAACTTCAATTTTATTTTTTTATTTTTTTTAAATCATGCAAGTTTTGAGTATACAGGATATGATATGTGTTGTTTCTGTAGGAGGAGTATCACACATTTCGTGGAGGATTTTGGAACTATTTTAGTATGGGTAAGCATTTTAAACTCCTCTGTTTTCACCCTTTATATTAGCTATTTTTTTTAAAAAAAAAATTGTCCTTAACTGTTTGTTTTTGCAGGAATGGATGCTCAAGTTTCATATGCGTTTCATGCAGAAAGAAAGCTACACCCAGAAAAATTCAAAAATCAATCTGCTAACCATAATGCCTATGCAAAACTGACATGTTCACAAGGATGGTTTTGGGCTTCACTTTCTCATCCATCTTCATGGTAAGTTTTGTTGCATGCTATTTTGTTGTATATTTTTTGTTAAAATATCCACAATCTTTTTTTGGCTGTTAGGAACATAGCACAACTGGCAAAAGTTTCAATCATGAAAAAGCCAGGCCAATGGGAAGTCCTGTCAATACCTCCTAGGTAAGTTTAATGGTCCACAATCAGTCAACTCAGTTTTTGAAAGTCAATACAATAATAATAAATTGATTGTGTATGCAGCATAAGGTCGATAATCTGCCTAAACTTGCCTAGTTTTTCGGGTGGACTCAATCCATGGGGCATACCAAGCAGAAGGAGACTTCGTGTGGTTAGAGCCTAGCCCTTTTTTTTTTTTTTTTTAAGATCCAACTGTTAGTTACTTACTAACGAAGATTCTTTGATGATATTTTTAGAAAGAATGGACTCCTCCATATGTCGATGATGGATTTCTTGAAGTTGTTGGATTCCGAAACGCTTGGCATGGAGCTGTTTTATATGCCCCAAGTGGACATGGGACCCGTCTTGCCCAGGTACAACATAGCCATATTTCAATTTATAGAAGAAAAAAAAACTAGAATATTAAAAGCATGAAAATTATTAATATGTATGTAGGCGAGAGGGATTCGATTTGAGTTCCACAAGGGTGCAGCGGATCATACGTTCATGAGGATGGATGGAGAGCCATGGAAACAGCCTCTGCCAACAAAAGATGAGAATGAGAATGTTGTGATTGAGATATCTCGTTTTGGTCAAGTCAGCATGTTGGCTACAGGGGAGAATCCCTCTAAAAGTGTGAATGACCCGTTGACCCCACGGACTCCTAGTAAAGATAGTGAGTATGACAGTGATGAAGAAGAGTTGGAGGAGATTCCTGAAGATAGAAAAAAGTTGGGGGCGGCTGCCAGTTTCAAACTACCCCAAGACTTCAACCTATCGCAAGTCAGTTAGGTTATTCATTATTGTTTTGGTTGGTATATAGGGTATCTTTGTTTGTTTGTTTGTTTGTTTCAGGGGTACAAATGAAATGGTTCGTAGTATACATATATGATATTTCTTGGATTTTAACCATTCGGGTGGGTGTAGGGTACAAATTGATTTCAGAAATTAGTTCAGGAAGGAGAGAGCCTTACTAGTGCTGTAAATGATTAGTTAACCTTTGTATTTACCAAGTAATGAAAGAGGCTGACTATTTTGGATGTGTTAGGAATTTACTCTTATATGTATCATCAATGTTTGTATTTACTTCATTCATACTCAACTTTTGCAAAACTAATATGATTAAATTGATGTTCACTGGTTATAGGACGTGAAATTCATTCAAAGTCTATTTTTTTAATAACAGACAATGTACTTTTATGATAATATAGCTTTCATAAAAGCAAGATCAACTGAATTATTAATGTTATGTTTGACGTACTATTTTAGTTGATAAGTTGGCTTATAAATGGGATTTAGCTATAGAAAAAGGATTTAGTCAATGCTTCAAAATAAAAAGGTGGTATTTTAATATGGAAAGCAGAACACTAAGGTTATTGTGGTGTATTGTGGGTTGGGATGGGGTTGGATTAGACTTTGGAGTTTGTTTTAGGCTGGGAATGGAAGGTATGTGGGATGGAAAGAGGAGGAGTTGGAGCTAGGGTAGATAGGGGAGTTGCACTTGGGCTGGCACTACCAGTAGGTTTGGGTTTGTGGTGAGGGGCTGCTATCGAGATGGGGGGGGGGGGGGGAATAGTTTGGTAGGTTTTGCTGGGTGAGAAATTAAGTTTCGTCAAATGTAATGTGATAAAAAAGGATTTTTTTTTTGGTGGAATGGTTGTAGCATTTGAAACCACGATAGTTATTCAGGTATCCAAGGAAAAGATAGGGTTGAACGGGGTTGGAGTTTCTTGATAGTGGTTGATTGAAAAAGACGTAACACAAACAACATAAAACTTTTTAAATGTTGATAGGATGGAAGTTTTTGGTAGAGGATTTGGGTAAGAGAACTGACCATCAATGGGGAGGGCATTAGAGTTGGTTCCGCTTTCTGTTCGACCGCTAGGATTAGATAGTATCTTCAACATGGTTACTCGAGTTACCATGCATATGTGGCTGACAATCGAGTGGAGGAGAAGAAGTTAGTTTCCAATGTTCCTGTGGTGAGGAAATTTCCTGATGTTTTTCCAGATGATCTACCAGGCGTGCCTCCTGAGAGGCAGGTGGAGTTTAGGATCGACCTGATCCCTGGTGCTGCCCTGATTGTCAAAGCGTCATATCGCCTTGCGCCGCCTGAGATGCAATAGTTGTCCTCATGACTCCAGGAGTTGTTGGGTAAGGGGTTTATTCGACCTAGCAGCTCGCTATGGGGAGCACCGATCCTTTTTGTTAAGAAGAAGGATGGTTCGCACCGAATGTGCATTGATTACCGGGAGTTGAACAAGTTGATGGTGAAGAACCGTTACCCGCTAACGATGATTGATGACCTTTTTGACTAGTTGTAGGGAGCGTCTTGGTTCTCCAAGATCGATTTGAGATCAAACTACCATCAGATGAGGTTTAGGGAGGATGGCATTCAGAAGATGGCTTTGCGTACTCGTTATGGTCATTATAAGTTTGTGGTGATGCCTTTAGGTTCACCAACGCACCGACGGCGTTCATGGATCTCATGAACCGAGTGTGCATACCGATATTGGATCGATGAATGATCGTTTTTATTGATAATATCTTGGTTTAATCTAATACCAAGGAGTAGCATAAGGAGCACCTTTGTGAGATTATTAGGGTTCTATGGATGGAGAGGTTGTACGCCAAGTTCTCCAAGTGCGAGTTTTGGTTGCACGAGGTCCAGTTTATGGGGTATCTCGTCAACCAGGATGATATTTTGGTTGATCCGGCCAAGATTGAGGCGGTGATTCAGTGGGAAGTTCTGAGATCTCCATCCGAGATACGAAGTTTCCTTGGGTTGGCTGAGTATTATGGGAGATTTATTCGAGATTTCTCCAAGATTGCAGTTCCTCTTACCAGGTTGACTAGGAAGGATGTCACTTTTTGCTGAGGGTCTGAGCAGCAGGTTGTAACGCCCTGTCTGAATCGTTTCCCACGCGCAACACTTTTAATCTCACAGCTGTTTGTGTCTTCAGAGTAAAAAATCCCTGCGCGTGTTCTGTTTGGCGCAACACTTGTATTGCCTCTTCCAACCTCTTCTTATTCTTTTTTCTTGCTGAAATCTTTGATTATATTTTGCTGAAATATTATTTTACCTTTTTTTTGTTTATTCTTGTTGATTTTTTTTCCGTTTTTTTATATTAAATAATAATAATTTCTTGATGAAATATCATTATTTTTTGCTAAAATATCTTTACTTTTTTGTTGATATATCATTATTTTTTTGTTGAAATATCATAAATTATTGCTGAAATGTCATACATTATTAAATTTTCGGTATTAAAAAACTATTTTCGATTTATAAAATCAGTTTATTTTAATTTTTTAATATCTGCAGCAACTTGCAGATGTTAAAAAAACAAACACGCTTCTTATTACAGTCTGCAGCCGTTTGGTCAACCTCTTCTACTGCAGAGGGTTGCAGAGGTGATCCACAGACTTCATGAATTTTTGCTTCAAAAAAAACAAACAACACCTTAGTGTTATTTCAAGGAAGTGGATATTGGTGATCAAGCTTGGTGTAGCCATGGGGTTATAGATCCAGAATCTTCGCACTCTTGGGAAGCTTTAGGAGGTAAAAAGTTCTTATCTTGACTTCTTCTTATGCTAGTTTGAGTTTAGGGCAAGATTAAGGGCTTTTAAGGTGTATTAAGTTCTCCTTGTGAGTTTGAGCCACTCCAGGAGCTTGAAGTGATAGATCTTGCCTCTTCTGATGTTTCTAGTTCATAAAAATGCTTGCTTGATGTTTAAGAATGGCCCATTCATGTTTTAATTGGATTAGAATGGGTCTTAATGGATTAAGATGGTTGTTGGGTCCCATTGAGTCATGCAAATGCATAAAGGTGCCGACTTTATGCATTGAGAGCTTAGATTGAAGGTCTTATGGGGTTTTGATGCAAGGACTTAAAGGATTAAGTCGTAGTTGAGTTTTGGAAAAGTCCCGGTTACGCCCGCGTAACTAATGATATGCCCAGTGTACCAAGTTGAGGTCACAATTTGGATTCGTCGAGTACGCCCAGCGTACTGAGCGTACGCCCCACATACAACGTTCTGCTGAGTTTGCGCTTGGTGTGTTTTTGGGCTTCGCACCTTTGGTCCACTTTATTGGACTTGTTGCTTTGGGCCTTTGGGCCATCTAAGATCAACTTTTGGACTAAGGAAATTATTGGGATTTAGGATAAGGCCCATATGGGGTTGGGCCCAATTTGGAAAATTGGGCCATTAGTGGGCCTTTATTGATCTTTTGGTTTTGGGCCTTTTTGGTCCTGGGCTTGGGCCTCAGTTTTGGTTCATGTTAGGTCAAGGGTAAAATGGTCATTTTACCCCAAGTATGGATTGTGGGCCTTAGAATGGAACCCAATTGCTAATTGGGTGTTATTTTGGTACTGATAGCTCAGGGAGTCATCAGGGCAGCAGCTAGGATTTCTTTCAGTGAGCTTCTTCATTCAAGGTGAGTCTCCTCACTGTTCTATAGGTCCAAGACGCCAATGCCGACTCATTTGGTTTATGTATTGTAGGAAGACCCGGGGCTAGCCCTTGGCATTTTGTATGAAAGACCAGAAGGCGGATCCTGGCAAACTGTGTGCAAGACTAGAGTCTAAACTCTGGCAGTTAATTAGTTAAGTAGTTGTAGATTGTATGCTAGTTGTCTTTGTGATGCTTACATGGAAGACCAGGAGGTGGCTCTTGGCACTTATCTGTAAGACCTAGAGTTTTGGTCCCCGGCCTGGCAAGGAAGACCACGAGGCGGCTCGTGGCATAATGGCATGACTATGGTTGGCACATAACACTTTTATTGATTGATTGAATATGTATGATATGTATGGCTCATTTGACATGTATGGTATGTGGTATTCGGGGAACTCACTAAGCTTTGTGCTTACACTTTGTGGTTTATGGTTTCAGGTACTTCCGATTCGAAAGGGAAGGGCCTGGCTTGATCCTAGCGCATACACCCGTGTTTTTCCGCAATTCATGATTTTGAGATTTACTCTGATAATTGTTTTACTTTGGAATACTTTTAATTGTTTGGATAAGGAATAATGAATGCTTTTATATATATATATATATATATATATATATATATATATATATATATATATTAAAAATGAAATTTTTACCCTTGATTTTCGGGATGTTACAAGTTGGTATCAGAGCCTTAGTTTGAGGGATTCATGCATACTCTCGGGTGTGCCTAAACTCAAACTGAGGGTTTGGTGAATTTTTTTATAAAATAAACATTTAATTAAAAAGGAATTTTTAATCAAAGAAAGGGGTGTGATGCGTGAAATCGGTTGAGCTCAAGTAAGTGGTTCTCAAGATACCAATACATGTTTATTATGATTTATGATATGATTATGAGAATTGCATGCTAGATTAGGGCTAAGGATCTTCTCAGTATTATATGATAGGAGAGATGCCTTTATATGCCTGATTGTATGAGCTTTAGAATTGCATCCTAGTATGGATTCCAGATAAGTGGATAGAATGGCTTGATTAGTGTATGTTGGTTAGATTTTCAGTTGTCTGAATGCTGCATGCTTTGTGCTTTGTGGGACCTTTGGTGATGTGAATTGACTACTAAGTGAATATGCTAAGCTACATGTGGCACAGGTTAAATAATCTTAGAGTGATGGATTTGACCCTATTATGCAACTCTTGTTTGAGTCCAACCATTCTACGGTTGAGTCTTTTACTCGAAGGATTACCTGATCTCCGTTGCATGTGACTATATTCATGAGGAAGCTAGTTAACATTGGTGGGAGTCCTTCAACAGCTGAGGGCTAGGTGAGGTCGGGAACCTAGGAGAGCTTAGGATATGTTTCAGTGGGTTTAGTGGTGCGGTTTAGTGAGTTTTTGGTACATTGGTTTGAGAAGGTGACTTAGAGGATTCAGGATGAGTGCTGAGGAAAGTATGGATAAGTGTGGAAGGTAGTATTGGGCTCGTACTACTGAAAGCACAAGATCCATACTTGAATCGGTGAGAGTCTTGGAGAATCTAAGAAGCTTATGGGAGGAGGATTTTGGATATGTTCTGATCTTTGGCATGTCGTATTTCAG